TTCATGTACAAATGTTTGCGTGGGCATATATTTTCATTCTCTTGGGCATATACCTAGGAGTAGAATTGATGCGTCCTATGGCAACTCCGTGCTTAACTTGTTGAGAACCTGCCAGACCGTTTCCCCAAGTGGCTGTACCATTTTGCCTTCCCACCGGCAAGATATGAGGGTTCCAGTTCCTCCTTATCTTTGCAGAGTTGAATCGTACAGACGTCACGTAGAGGAAAAAGCAAGTTGCAGAATACATTCAGCGTGACCTCGTTCCTACAAAATCTGGAAACATACAAAATAATACCATATGTTACATAGGTCTATGCCGGGTGTGGTTAAGGTATAAAGAAAGTCACAGGAATGGAAAACACCCAAATATGGATAGTGGTTCTCACTGTGGGGGGGTGGTGTGTGGGGGGGTAAACGTCACAGACACCTTTTAAGGTAGGGCTTTTGCAGCTCGTTGTACAGCCTGGGAAACAGGTGCACAGAGACTGAGGGATGAGGCTGAGGCTCTGGCCCGGCAGTCTGACCTTGGAGTTGACACGTGCCCAGTGCACTATCTCCTGCAAAGAGCCAGAGCTTCCAGAAAGCGCAGGTCTGGTTGGAATCCAAGCTCTACCTCTGAACTCTGGGACCTTGGGTAAGTTACTTAACATCCCTGAGCCTCGATGTCCCCAAATCTTAAACTGGAGATAAATACCACCACCTAAAAAAATTTTTTTTTTCTTTGTTGTTTCTGCTTTTGCGAGATTTAAATTAAAAAACCCTCTTTGAAGCTAAGACAGCCCCCCCCCCCCATTACTCTAAGAGGCTCTCAATTAATCATCACAGGATTCCTGGCATTGTTGACATTTATTTCTGATTTTTGTCTTTACAGAAGTCATCAATCTGGTTCTGTTTATCACCTCGTGCACGGATTCTTCCCAAGGACTCCCAGTCTTGTTCTTTTAGCCACTCTCTAAAATATGATCCAATTTACACAACTTTGACTTACAACTCCGCTAGAAGCCCAAGTGGTGCGTAAAATGATGCTCGCTGCAGCCCGCTACGCCGCGGAGCACGGGACCCCCGGGACCTGGCCAGGACCGGGATCCTCAGTTCTTTCGTGCCATAAAGAATCCTTCTGCAAAATGAGTCATGCCACAGCGCGCGTCTGCTGGGACAAGCCAGTTTTCCCTGCTTAAAGCAGAGTCAGGCCGGGCGCGGTGGCTCACGCCTGTAATCCTAGCTCTCTGGGAGGCCGAGGCGGGCGGATTGCTCAAGGTCAGGAGTTCAAAACCAGCCTGAGCAAGAGCGAGACCCCCGTCTCTACTATAAATAGAAAGAAATTAATTGGCCAACTGATGTATATATAAAAAATTAGCCGGGCATGGTGGCGCATGCCTGTAGTCCCAGCTACTCGGGAGGCTGAGGCAGGAGGGTCGCTCGAGCCCAGGAGTTTGAGGTTGCTGTGAGCTAGGCTGACGCCACGGCACTCATTCTAGCCTGGACAACAAAGCGAGACTCTGTCTCTAAAAAACAAAAACAAAAACAAAAACAAAAACAAACAAAAAAGCAGAGTCAGTGCCCAGCACCGATTTTCACAGGGGAGGCCGACAGAATAAAAGGTATGAAAAGGGAATCGCTGCCCCTGTGGCTTCAGAGACCTCACGGTTCAATTTTCTGGAACTCCTTCAAGGCGCAGGGCTGTGGCATTTCCCTCCCCCCCTCCTCCTTTCAGTTCCCTCATCTGTAAAATGGGGATAAATATTGTACTGTATAATCTCCTACCCCTCGCAGGATAAATGAACCCAGGCACGGGAAAGAGCACAGCTCAGGAAGTATTTGTAAATCTGAATTGATGTAGTCATTTGGGTCATTCAACGAGAACTCATTGAGCAATTCCTGTGATCCAGAAGAAACATAAGGCATGATCACTACCCATCAAGAGGGTCCCTGTCGTTTCCCGGGAAGAGCAGTATTTCTTAAGACTTGGTGACACCTGTGCTTTGTCTGTGTACACCTAACGATTTCATGTCTAAGGTTGTTTGAAATTGCAAAACAAATGAAACATAACCAGGAATAAAAAGGAAGCCATCAAAACAGTGGCCACCCCAAGAGGAATGAGTATATATGTCCATGTGAAAACTTGGTACCCGCATGCTCATAGTGGCATCGTTCACAGTAGCTAAAAGGCGGACACAACCCAAATGTCCACCGATGGGTACACAAACTGTGATATATCCACACACTGGAATATTACTTGGCCATAAAAAAGGAAGACAGTGCTGACGCATGCTGCAACGTGGATGAAACTCGAACACATTATGCTGAAGGAAAGACACCGGTCATAAAAGACCACCAGTGGCATAATTCCTTTCGCGTGAAAGTCCAGAGTACGGAAACCTGTAGAGACAGAAAGTAGATTGGTGGTTGCTTAGGGCTGGGGTCGGGGAGGGGCAAAAACAAGAGGACTTAAAAAAAAAAAAGAAGAAGAAGAAAGCAGTGACTGCCCTTGCTCACTGCACCCCTGCATTCGCTGGAATACCGGCAGATGGGTCCCCAAACTGCACAGCCCAAACGTGTGAGCATCGTGTGCAGTAACTAGAAGACAGTGTGGGTGCAGGTATCATGGAAGCCTTTGGGAGGAGGTGGGAATCAAAGAAAAAGTAGAATATTCACCTAGGAAGGAGAAGGCAGGGGTGGAGCCTCTCGGGAGGAGGCAGCCCATGGAGTCACCCAAGGAAAGATTTGGGGTCGGGGTTAACAGGGCATGCTCGGGGGTGTTGAAGGGACCAGCCAGCTGGGACAGTAGCCTCATTTCAGGAGAAAACTAGTCCATGCAGTCAGAGCACGGGAAGGTGTCGGATCGAGGGAGACCCGGGTGCCATACTGGATTTCATCTGGTAGGTTCTGGGAGCTCCCAGAGGCATCTGAGCGGGGCAGGGAGGGGTCTGGCAGGATTGAAGACACAGTGAGGCTGTCCTGACGCCCAGAAGCCTTTATGTTGAATACTTCACTCACACACACACACACACACACACATATGCACACACGCATGCACACACATGCACACACACACGCATGCACACACATGCACACACACACGCATGCACACACGCATGCACACACATGCACACACATGCACACACGCATGCACACATGCACACCAGCCACAAGGACCGGGAGTGCAGCAGCGTGTCCCAGGGCTCGAATGCTTAACCCTTTTGAAGGAGGCAACCAACTGGCCTAACCCAGGGTGGGGGATTCTTGGGGCTCTAGGACCAAGTGGATGTGGGGAGGAGCAGGACCCCGGGGAGACTAAGGGAAGACACGGAGAACGCCAGCACCCACAGAGCAGGTGTCCCTGCTGGGCTGCGGCCCTTCCTTCCCTCCCCTTCCCTTCCCTTCCCTTCCCTTCCCTTCCCCTTCTCCTTCCTTCCTTCCTTCCTTCCTTCCTTCCTTCCTTCTGCAGCCCCAGGGGGAGGCCCCGAATCCCAGCTTTAATCAGGTCACTGCTCTCGTTTAGAGTTTAACATACCATCCCTCATAGTGGGACACGCCATGTCAACCCATCCGCTGCTCAGAGGGGCTGGTCTTCCCTCCCTCCCGCTCTCTGCCCTGTGCCTCTGCCCACGAGGCTCACCCAGAGCCTTGGAGGGCCGTCCTTTCTGCCTCTGGGGTGTCCTCTCCCGCAATGCTAGACGGTGGGTCCTAAGGTACCAACTCGCTCCCGCCTAAAACCCTCCCTGTCTCCAGCTGCTCCCACGCTACAACCAAGGCCACTGTGACCTTGCCCGGCCACCCTCAGAGCTCGGCTCCTGCACTGTCTTCCTCAGCTGCCCAGAGGTGCCCAGCACACGGCGCTCGGTGTGTCCCCTTGGCACAGTGACATTTGAGGCTGATGATGCTTTGTTGGGGGCGAGGGGCTGCTCTGTGCCTTACAGGATGTTGGACAGCACCCCCGCCTCTATCCACTAGACGCCGGTAGCATTCCCTCCCCAAGTCTTTACAACCCAAAATGTCCCCAGGCATTGCTAAATGTCCCCTGGGGGCCAAACCACCCCCATGGAGAGCCACTGCCCGGTGGCAGTGTGTAACAGAAGGGTCAGACCACCCACTGTCAAGCCAGACAAGACCTAAAGCCAATTGCCAGCCTTTGCCCCTAAGAGCCACACGCCCGGCCAAGTCACTTTAAATGCGGATAATCTGGCACCTGCCTTATAGGATTGGGTGATCGTCACATGAACAGCTCCATGAAAAGTAGCTACAAGGTCAGCATGTAATCGACACTTAATTATGACGCCCTGTTTTGCTGCATGTTCTTGGTGTCCTCTTTCTTCCTCCTCTGTTGGCCGGCAAGCTTCCGTTTGTTCTTCAACGCTGAGTTTGCACATGGACGCCCCCCACCCCACCCCAAACCCTGGCGGTGCCTCCTCTACCTCACTGGGCTGAAACGGTGTGTTGGAGGGTCTGCCTCCTGCACTTAGGGGCAGTAGCCCTTTATCCGCCCTACTCTTGATCCCAGAGCCTGCACTCACGCCCAGCCCCTATTTGGGGTGCAAAGAGGGAGGGAGGGAGCGAGCCGGTGTGGACACGTTCCAATCCCACCTGCAGAGGGGGAAAGCCGGTGTCTGCCCCGGGCGAGGTGGGGCACTATGCAGTTACCCCAAAGAGCGCTGGGAACTCATCAGAGCAAAGAGAACGTCACCTGAACCCTTGATCTCATCAGTCCGAAGCAGCGCTGTTGCAGATAAAGTCCCCTCTCCCCAGGGCCTCGAACCCAGTCTGACTCCGAGAGTCTCGGTTTTCCCATCCATACGATTGTTATGACACACAGCGGCCTCCCGGGGGTTCTTCTTAAGGATGGAGTGAAGTGATGCAATTTCCCAGTGAAGATGTACATCAGACAGCGAGCACGCAAACCCAGCGGGGAAAGAGGCATTCCAAGAGCTCCTTTCTTATTTTTCTTTTTTTTTTAGAAAAAAAACCAAAAACCTCTTTACTGAAGAATGATTGACATAGGAAAAGCTGTGCATATTTAATGTATAAATTTCGGTGAGTTTGGGGATAAGTATACACCCAGGAAACCACCACCGAAGACAGCCCACGTCTCTCCTAACTATCAATGACCAGCCAGTGGCGGTGGCGGGCGGGACTGTGTGTTTTCACGTCGGGGACGGTTTCCTTTCCTTTGTTTGTGGTCTGACTCTGGCAGACGGATGGGAGGCACGGCTTGTTTTTCCTGTTGGGATGTGCAGGGAGGTCTCCATGTCCACAAAGGGTAGAAGAGAAAGAAAGCCACCTAAGTTGTCGTAGCCGATGTCCAGCTTGGAATCTAGGAAGAATTAATTGATTACAAGAGTCATTCATGCTCAGAGAAGGATGTCACCAGCACAGATAATAGAATTTCAATAACTGGAGGGGGACTTGTCAATTAAAGCCCTTCTGTTTCTCCAAGGCAGTGTGGACCCCAGCCCCTGGCATACCTTCCCTGCCACCCCCATCTTCCAAAGCTGTCTTCATCCTTCCACCTCTAGAAACACTGTTGGCCGGGTGCGGTGGCTCACGCCTGCAATCCTAGCACTCTGGGAGGCCGAGGCAGGAGGGTACCTTGAGGTCAGGAGTTTGAGACCAGCCTGAGCAAGAGCGAGAACCTGTCTCTAATTCTTTTTCAAAAAAAAAAAGTATTAAAAAAAATTAGAAACACTTATTGCCCATGCCCTGTATCATTGTACTCTGTGTGTGTGTGTGTGTGTGTTTGTGTTTGTGTGTGTAAGGGACAGACAGACAGACAGACAGAACCCAACTAGATCCCTAAACCCCTGAAGGTAGAGGGCCTTGTCTTATACATTGCTTGGCTATCTCTATTAAAATGCCTCTGTAAGGTAGTCTGTTAATATCATTCCTTTTACAATTAAAAAAAAAATGTTTTAAAATAGAACCGGTAACACATGTTCACTGTAGAAAAATCAGAAAAATCCTAAGAAGCCACAAAAAACTAAAAAAAATCACCCACCACCCCTCTACCCAGCAAGACCCAATGTTCATATCTTTCCACGGTTCTTTATTTTGTTTGTTTTTTCAAAAACTCAGCCAAGTATTACATGTATGCATGTAAACCATTCAAAAAGATGTGGAATATAAAAGAGGAAGGTGCCTGTTTTTCTTCTCCAGTCCCTCTTCACTGGGGCCACTACTATTAACCCTTTGATGTGAGTCAATCAAACCTCAGTCCAAGTATTTGGAGACACGTGTAGGGATATAGACACAGATGCAGCATTAAAAAAAAAAAAAACACAGACAAGATTGTGCAATGCGTATGTTTCCGTAATTGGCTTTTTTTCACCCAACAATATGGCTTTGGGAGTTTGCTATACCAACTCACTTAGATCTTCCTTTTTCTCTTTGACAACCGAATCACATTCCATTGCATCATCGTTGCAATTCATAGACACACTCCTCCACGGATGGGAATTTAGATCGTTTCAAATGTATCCCTAATACAAAGTGTACGTTTCTGTCCACCTGTGCAAGTATCTCTGTGGGACAGATTCGTAGATGTGCAATTGTAGAGGCGCTGTAATCCATGATTTAAATTTTGATAGCATTGTCGAATTCCTCTCCAAAAGGGCTGCACCAAATTATACTTCTGCCAGCAGTGCACGAGAAGATGTGATCCATGCACTCTTGCCAATACTAGAAATTATTAATCTTTAATATTTTGTGTGTGGCCAATTTCATGGGTCAACGTGGCATGTCGTCTTTCCTATGTTTATCGGTCATCAATCTTCTTTCTATACGTCTGCACATATAGATGCTTTTTAAACGTCTTACACTGTCTTGAAGTCATCTGTGTTTTTTTCTACCGGACATCAAAAATGCCTTTTTATGGCAGTGGACGCACACTTTTGCATCGTTCCGGTGGCTGTGCCCTGTGGCAGCACCACACACTTCTCTATTGGTTTCTGATTATGGAGCATTCAAATCATTCCCCGTCTTTTGCTGGTTTTGCCAAGACTGTGGTGGGTGTCGTTATAGCCGAGTGACACGTAGAACGCTTTCCTTGCGATGAATTCCTAGGAGTGGAATTGTTGGTCAGAGGACATGCATATTTTAAGATCGTCGCTACTTACTGCCAAAGTGCCCTCCAGAGCAGCTGGCTGGCAGATTGATATTATCACCAGCGGCCATGACAGTGTCCTTACATGGACATTACCAAATGTCCCCTGGGGTGGGGGGCAAAATCCCCCCCTCCGGTTGACACCCACTTCCTTCGAGACAGCATGGTTTGTGTGCCCAGGCAGCTGCCGAGAAATGTCCCTTTCACTCCCTCCTATGGTCTGATTCACTGGTTCTCAAACCCCACTGTTGTCTACCCAATCCCATAGACACCCTACTCTATGGGCAGGGAATTTACCAGGGTAATTTGACCCCAAGCGTTTTTGCCTTACGTGTTGACACGAAAACCTGTCCCTTAAATTGAACACCACTGGCCTCCCTGAAGAGCCCTCAGCAGTCACAGAGATCTTTCAAGCACAATGTCCCTCTCGTGCCCAGGCTTCTTCCGTGAGCCCCGTGGGGGTCACCGCTGTGCTGAACACTTCCCACGGCGCCCGCCACGCCACCCTGCTGACTCCTCCTGCTGACGCCGTGAGGTGGGTCCTAATCCTGCCTCATGTCACAGAGGAGACCCTGAGGTTCAATAACTCGCCCCACACTGCACAGCTATAAATGCCGAGCCCTCTGTCCCCAAGCCGTCCTGCCTTCCAGTAGGAAGTGTGCCCTGCAGTTAGAGCGTCCCTGACCGGCTCTCGCTGGCTGGTGGACATTTCTGCCTTTGTCACTCCGCGTCCCGTAGGTGAGAATCCGAGAGCACAGCTGCCGTGCCTCCTTGCTCTGCGCGTCCTCAAAGGGGCAGTGGCCGGCATATCTTGAGCTGCGGGCAAAGTGGGGAACCAGCCATGGTCCCCACTTTGCTGATGTGGGCACAGCCATACCTGGAGGCTGAGCCGCTTAGATGACCTCTTAAAGTGCCACCCCAACCCAAGACTCTGAGTACTGCTTGAGTGAGACACTGTGAGGGTCCATGGACTGTTTAGACCGGTAGGGTCGCCATGTCGCCGTTTGGTGTTTCGGAATGATGCTTCTCTCCTAACTTGAAAGAATGAGTAGGTTTTGCAATCCAGGGCTCCACCCCTTCCCCCGCCCCTCCCCCCAGGAAGACTTCGACCCTAATAAGGGCGAAACCCTTTGAGCAAGGTGTGCCCACAAAGCCAAGGGTGTGATTAGATCGGCCAGGACCTTCCTGTTCCAACCAAAGGAACCAATTAGATGATCTAATGGGAACCTTTTTTGTCATCCGGAAATTATACGATGCTACGAAGCTGCCCACGGTTATGTATGCTTGATGATAATAGCAATGTCTCCTTCCAGGATCGCGTCACAAAGTGTAATCAGCTCTCTTGACGGCCTCGGTGTTAATGGCCCTGCACCCATTTTGCTGCTGGGTAGAGCGAGGCAAACAGAGACCAGGGACCTGCCTGGGTCATCCTCCCTCATCAGGGACATTTCTTCAGTGGGCCCAGTGAAAGCAGGAATCTCGTTTCCTATGCTGTCTATCCGAAATTCCAGCCCCAGTGGAATTTCCCCAGAGTCTGTTCCAGGGAACACCAGTCTCACAAGAAACCCTGTGGTAAGCTAGGAAAATGTGGCATTTCTAGTCTTGCCCTGGATTTTCTTAAGTACATTAGCATATTAAACGCTCTGAGAAGTCCTGCAGTAAAGGAATCTTTTTAATTGTGATCAACCAGGCATTTCCAAAACTTATTTGACCACAGAATCCTGTATTCATGTATCATAATACCCCTGAATGTCCCCTGGGAGCACTTTGGGAGGTTCTGTGTTCGGGATGTTTAAATGGCCTCTGCTGTCCCAAAAACATTTGCAGAGAGGCCCTTCGGGCAGGTATAATTCATTGACCACCTACTATGTGTTGGTTCTGGTGCTAAACATATTTCCTACTTCTTTTTCCTATGAGGAGGGCCAAACACTTTCTATATTTTCTCCTTTGCGGAAGGCTTTTCATCTCTGCCATAAAAATGAAAAAAAAAAAGTCAACAAAGCCAATGGCCAAGCAGTTGGTCCAAGAATACACAGCTAGTAGGGATGGCACTGAGGCTTGAACTTAGAAACTTTCTGATTCCAAAGCCTGTTCTTTTGATTCTGTGCCGTTGCTCGAACCACATGGGCCAACAGATGCACCCTTCTCTCTCTCCGTATGCTTTTGCTGAGAGAGATGACGTACATACAGAAAGGGGCGTGAGACATTTATGTCTGTATAAGCATAAATTAAATGCTCATGTATCGATAAAGAAGTAGAACACAGCCGGCACCTTGGGGGTCTCCCGGGGGCATCTCCCGTCCTGACTCTTTAGATATTTATTTCTAATTTATTTGCCACATATCTTTGTATCCCTATTCAGTGTTGTTTTGCCTGATTTAGAACTTCATGTGAATGGACCCATACTCACAAATACGTTTTCTCCCGTTTCTTTGCATTCGACAAAATATTTGTGAAATTCGAACACACTCTCGTGTACAGCTATAGTTCACTTGCTTTCATTGCTTCGTTGTGTTCCACTGGATGAACTTGTCCCTTCTACTGTTGGTGGACGTTGGCTCATGTCCAGCTTTTGGCAATGGTCTCAGTCCATTTGTGCTGCTTAAACAAAAATACCTGAAACTGGGTAATTTATAAACAATGAAAATGTATTTCTTACAGTTCTGGAGGCTGGGAAGTCCAAGAACAAGGCACCTGTGGGTTCGGTGTCTGGTGAGAACCCAGTCTCTGGGTCCAAGATGGCGCCCGGTTGTTGCACCATGAGAAGTGGGAGGGAGAAAGGCAAAGGGCCTGCTTAGTTCCCTCCAGCTCTTGTAGAAGGCGCTACTCCATCCTTGAGGGCAGGGCCTCGTGGCCTAATCACCTCCTGACATCCCTGCCTCTTACTATTGTTGCATCTGGGGTTAAGCTTCAACATGAATTTTGGAGGGGACACCAATATTCAAACCATAGCAGCAACCACGACAATGGTGCATCGTGCTGTGCGCCTATGGCTGCACGTGGGTAAGAGTTTCTGTAGAACATAAACTTAGAGTGGAATCGCTGGATCTTATTTTTGCTATCCCTACCTTTCATTCACCACGGTCATCTGCTACCACCAGTCTGTTCATGATTCACAAAGGCAGATGAGGAAGCTCAGCATAGATGCTGTCTGTATGTACAGAGAACCTTGTATTTACAGAATGAGACCTGCCAAGAGCATGGTCCATGAGTCTCTTTTTCACAATCAGCTTTGTCTGAGAACCACTGATTTAGACCCTTGATCAATTTTTTAGAAAGTCCTGGGTAGGTGGGTGGGTGGGTGGGTGTCTTTTATTCAAACTAAATCTTACACAGAATGCAATATGTAAAAGAGAGAGAGAGGTCCAAGCATGGTGACTCACACCTGTAATCCCAGCACTTTGGGAGGCCAAGGTGGGAGGATCGCTTGAGGCCAGGAGTTTGAGACCAGCCTGAGAAACATAAAGAGACTCATCTACAAAAAATCTAAAAGTTAGGCGGGCATGGTGGCACATGTCTATAGTCCCAGCTAGTTGGGAGGCTGAGGCAGGAGGATTGCTTGAGCCCAGGAGTTCAAGGCTGCAGTGAGCTATGATTGCACCACTGTAGTCCAGTCTGGAGGACAGGGTGAGATTCTGACTCAAAAAAAAAAAAAAAAAAAAAGGGAGATAAAATCATTTTCCCTGTTTGGAGCAGGAGGTAAGAGCAGAAGTTCCCATGAAACAGACTGGCTAGCTCTTCCTGCAGCAGACTCACTCCTCTTCCTCGTACAACAGAGCACGACTCCATTTCCCAGCCGCCTTTGTGGGCAGGTGTGGCCATGTGACCCAGCTCTACCCAATGAAAGTGGGCGGAAGTGATGGTGTGGGCCTCTCCAGGCCTGGCCCATAAAAACCTGCTGCACCTGCAGCTCAGATGCGAAGATGTGGAGGCTGAGAGGTGAGGACAGCAACAAGCTGGAAGGGACTCCGGTCCTTCCATGATCATGTGGAAGGCTTCCCGACAAACAGGTGCACCCCTTTTGGATTCCACATAGAGAGAAATAAATGTCTGTTGCGTTAAGTCATAGATACTGGGGGGGTCAGTTTGCTGCCGCAGCTGCCATTGCCTTAGCTAACACAGCCCCGTCTCCACTGTCTGCCCCCAGGGGACCTCCGGGGAATCTGGGTCCTCCAGGAAGCCCCCGGGTGCAATGAAAGGAACGTGCCACATGCCGTCACCAGACGTGGGCTTTGGATCTCTGTTCCCCCATAAGGGGTGGGGGCGGAGAGGACCCTACTTCCCTCGGCTTTTGCACGGATTTAATGAGATAATATATTTGGAAAGTGCGCCGGGTGTGGTGAAAGGCATTTCAGATGTGAGTTATATTTAGTTATCGATACCGCGCTTCTGCATGCTTCTTGCATCTGCAGCCAAGCCTCTCTCCAGTGGCTACTCCACGGAAACCAGAGAAGCATTAACGCAGTAAATCTGAAGACGCAGCCCCTCGCTCCCTCCTCCAGGCAGGGCCGGGCCACGGTCCCCAGAGCAGCTGACCCGGAGCATAATGCAAGCTCTGCGCTCCGTCAGGCTATTTTGAGGCAGGCGACGAACAGGACTCCCACTCTCCCCATCAGAAATGTACATCATTCCCTGTTCTTTAATTTCCTTTTGATTAAAAAAAAATCAGCCTATCTGAAAAATATCTGCTATCTCTCCTCTACGCCAAGAGAGACGAGAATTTTTTTTTTTTTTTTTTTTTTTTTAACAAACAACAAACATGCTCTCTGGCCCTTTGGAGTAACAGGGACTGTTTTGGATTTTTTTTTTTTTTGCTGTGACGGTGGTGTAGATTTTGGGGTGAGTGATAAGCACATGAGAGTCTGATTTTAAATTGGCTGGCACTTAGAACTGTCACTTGGAATTATCTCCAGGTCTCTGGACTGGAGAAAGAGGCAGGTTTAAGTGCTTCTGATGTATGCAGTGGAGATTAGAGCTGCAAGGCAGCCAATCCCTGTCTGATGGCTGAAGGGGAGGGAAGCAGGGACTGTCCCTGCTCCTCTCCTGGACTCCAATCCCTGACCCAGGCTTCTCCCCTTCTCTCACTTCTCTCCTTTCATATGCACCATCTCCGCGATCTTCACACTCCCGTTCATAGTAGCAGACAGCCAGTAGGACTTAGCACCTAGTAGGTGGACAGTTCCCAGTCTGTGAACAAGTGCAGAGCACCCACTGTGTGCCGGGAAACCACGCGGGTCCCTGAGCACATGCTTTCACGCGTGCAGCCCTGCCTCCTGCTCTCCACCACAGAAGGCCCCCAACTGTCCCCAGCCACTGTCCCCATGCACCAGACCAAGCAGAGAGAGTCTGGGACCCGGCGTCTGAATCGCAATGTCCAAAATAGGTGTGGCATTCCTAGGGCTGCCATAGCAAATGACTACAAATTGGGTGGCTTAGAACAATGGAAATTCATTTCTCACGGTTCTGGAGGCTGGGAAGTCCAAAACCAAGGTGCCTGGTTCCTTCTGGAGGCTCTAAGGGAGGACACGCCCCAGGCCTCTCTCCCAGCTGCCAGCAACTGCTGCATTCCTGGGCTGGCTGGTAGCCCCATCTCTCCCATCTCTGCCTTCATGATCACACTGTCTTGCTCTCCTTTTTCCTCTGTGTCTTTTTCTTTTCCTCGAAGGACACCAGTCTGTCCAGTTAGGGCCCACCCTAGGTTCGTCTCGAGATCCTGAACTAATTACATCTGCAAAGACCCTTTTTCCAAGTAAGGTCACACTCCGAGGTCCTGGGTAGACGTGAACGTCGGGGGGGGCACTGTGCAACTCACTGCAGTCTGCGCCCTCTGCCACCCCCACCAAAGTCACGTTCATCTCACATGCAAAGTTCATTCGTTTCATCCCAACATCTGGAAGTAGAAGGACAGACGTTGGAAATGGGGGTGTCCCACAAAGTGTCATGAATAAAATAAGGCCTCAAGGGGCTTAGCACCGTGCCTGATAAAGCCCTGCATGACCAAAGGGTGACAGTAGAAGTATTTGTCATCATCTCAATGATGCACAACTGGGATCAAGACTCTCTTGTGACTCTCTTCCTTAGAAGGTTAACAAGGGCCTCCCGGTGCCTGCAGAACAAAGCCTGGCCTATTTGGTGACTTGCTAAGGGCTTTGCAATCAGGCCTCTGTCAAACCAGCATCCCTCCCGACTCCCGTCCCCAAGCCTCCTTGGCACCTGAGTTCTCCCTGGGGTCCCTGGGAGTGTCCTGTCTGCTTCCCGCCATCAGAGCCCACGGCAGGGCGTCTCCGGGAGGCCTCAGCCCACAGTGACATCTGTCTCCACTGCACTTGTGTCGCTCACATCTGTGCCCATTTGGGGTCATTGACTGACTTGTGGTTCTTCTTCCCTTGTGTTTGTTTATCTGCTCCACGGTAACTGCAACTTCTGGAAGGCAGGGACTGTGTCTTCCGCAGGACAGGTGTCACACCGTAGATGAAAGCCCGTGGGCTCTGATCCCAGACAGCACCAGGCTTCAAAGCCTAGCTCTGCCCCTTACTCAAGACACTGAGCGTCCCAGCACCTCAGTGTCTGAATCTATTAACATAAGAGTAACCTTGTCTTCCTATGAGGGTTCTCGGAGGGTCGAAAGTGCCTGGCACCAGGTAAGCCATCAGGAAGTTCCTTTCCAGAGCTGGGTGTTACCCGCTGCATCCGGTACTTGGTGGGTACTCAGGGCTTTGTAAATGTCTGTGGGTGATTACAAGCCCTGGATAGGAGATGACGCATTCTGGCATAAATTAGGGTATAAATTATTAGCCGTAATAGCAGCAACAACGATTAGCTATGTATCGGGCATGGTCCTAGTGCTCTCCATGCATCGTTATTCAGTCCATCTTGCCAGGTGAGGGATGTCTCATGCCATACCCAGTAGCGGTCCCACCGTGGTATGGCAGCCAATCAATGCATACCTGGAAAAAAATTGTCTCGGCCATACTGACTTGGAGATCTCGCTCCATTTTATAGACCCCCTGCTTCATCTTGCAAAGTCACCTGGCTAACCCATCCCAGACCCCTCCCTGCCCCCGTGCCCAGTGTGCCCCGGGAAGTGGGCTCAGACTTGGTCACCCAGCCCTCCCAGGCACCAGGGGCCTGACCCAGGCAGGTGGGGAGCAGGTACAGGAAGGTGGGCGGTGAAGGAAGAGCAGCTGCGGAAACGACTGGCATCATCACGCGTTTGATGGAATGTGTAAGAGTTTCCCCAGACTGGAAGGGGAGGGTCTGGGACGGTGGCGTTGAGACACGTGATCAAGGAACGCAGCACCAACAAACGTAAATGGAGTGGCAATTCCTTCCGTTCCTCTGGGCTCTACAATTGCACAAAGTGCCTTCCGTGGTGGGCAGGGAAGCCTGATGCTCAGGTGAGCGCGGAGCTGCCCAGCCTCTAGGTTCTAAATTAGGAATTTGGGTGCGACTGCTTTTATTATAAAAACAATCCCAGCTTCCTGCCAGGTCAGAACCAGAGTCCTTCCTGGGGAACGTGCATTTTCTTAGCAGCCTGCGGGAGACAGCCAACACGCTGCCTTGGAGTGCAGTAAAGTCCAACACAGGAAGCTCAGAGCTGTGGTAGGCCAGTGGGACGGACTGCTGGGGCAGGTGGTGACTTCTGCATCCTGCAGATGCAGCCTGTCCCAGGCCACCTGTGAGTCAACCTGAGCCCTGCTGATAACGAACCCAGCCGCGATTCCCGACATTAATATTTACAGCTGGCGGCGTTTGCACACCTCACACCGAATGCCCCAAACAGCAGACCTTGTGCTGTGAGTGCAAGGGAAAATGATCGCCTTGGATTTGAATAGCTCCCTTTTCCTGGGAAGCTCCAAGGAAATGATTTAGTAAATGTTTCAACCCACTGTTCCAACGGTATAGAAAATGTCGAAGGTAGGCTTGCCGCCTTATTGCAGAATAATCTGGGCAGTTTAGGGGGCTGTGGTTAAGAGCCCAGTCTCCAACGGAGCATAAATCTCAGTGCAAATCTCCTCTCTGCTCGCAGAGCTGCTAGCCCATAAGTGCCGTTGTGGGAATCGGGACAGGGCACCCTTCCCCTGGAAGACAGAGTTGACCCCAGCCCCTGCCTGCCTCCCCCATCTGACCTTGACTGAGTCATTTCTCCTTTCTAAGCCTCAGTCTCCTATTCTGTGAAATGGGGATAATAACGGAACCTACCTTCCAGGCTGGTTGTGAAGATTAGACGGCCCCATGTATGCCCAGCACGTAGTGAGCACTTTGATAAACGCTAGTGACAATCATATTATCAATACCATAATCATCACATCCTGCCTGACTGTAAGGAGACCAACTGTCCTGGTTTGACCAGGACTGAGAGGTGGGATAGTCACCCTACTGCTGGCACTATGCACAAGGAGGCCATCATGGCTCTGCGCACATTCTGGGGTGTCAGGTGCCGGTACTCAAGGGCTCAGTTGTTGGGCAAGGGCCCATTTCCTGCATCTGGCTCTCCACCCCAGCGGTGGACGGCTGGGTCTTGGGTGCGCACTGGTGCCTCCCCCCGAGGGGCTCTCCAAGGTCAAGGAGAACCCAGATCTCCTGCCTCTAGAGCCCTGGACGGTGACCACCTCACTGCATTGCCCTCACTCGTGCTCTGAATGTCTTGGACTAGGCTGGGGGACTTGCAGTGTCTTTGCTTAATAGACTTCATTTTTTAGAACAGTGTTAGATTTACAAAAACAATCATGAAGATAGTACAGTAGTGTCTCCACACACACCCCACCCCATTCCCCCCTGTAATGAACAACTTACATCTCTCCGGTGCATTCATCACAGTGAATGAACCAATATCGATTACATTGTTATTAACTAAACCCCACACTTTATTATTCAGATTCCCTTAGTTTTTTTCCTAATGTCCTTTCTCTGTCCCAGGGTCCCACCCAGGACCCCACATTACATTTAGTCATCATGCCTATGGAGGCTCCTTGTGGATGTGACTCTTTCGCAGAGTTTCCTTGTTTTCGATGGCCATCACAGTTTTGAGGAGTAGGGGTCAGATATTTTGTAGAAATTCCTTCTATGGGAACTTTTTTTTTTCGTAATTAGACCAGATCCTATGGTTTGAAGGTGACTCCCAAAGTTTTTGTGTTGGAAACTTAACTTTGGCACGCTCTCTCTCTCACCCTTCCACTATAAGATGACCCAGCAAGAAGGCCCTTGTGGGATGCCAGAAGTAGGTACCTCGACCTTGGACTTCTCAGCCTCCAGAACCGTAAGACATAAGTCCCTGTTCTTTATGAATTACCCAGTCTCAGATTTTCTGTTAGAGCAGCACACAGTGGACTAAGACACCAGGATTATGAATTGACTTACTCCTCACAGGATAAAAGCCAGGATTGGACTAAGGATTTCTTCGGGCTCAACCCCACGCTGGCCAGCACCTGTGGAATGGTGAGAACACCCCTGAGATGGTGGGGACTCTGTGCTCAGAGCCAGACAGAACTGAGTTCAAGACTCAGTTTGGCCAAGGCAGGCCAGTTCTCTTTCCCCTCTGAGCCTCCATGAGCTCACCTACCGGGTTAGAGTAAAACACGATGTACCTGGGACTAAGTTTAATCAAGATAATGCACATGAAACTCATGTGCTAGAATGCCCAACATGGGCATGAGGTGTCGTTGTTGCACACAGAAGTATGAGTGTTAGGCCACGTGCAGTAGTTCACGACTGTAATCCCAGCACTTTGAGAGGCTTAGGCGGGGGCATCGCTTGAGGCCAGGAGTTCAAGACCAGCCTGGGCAACATAGTGAGACCCCATCTCTACAACAAATAAAAAAGAAGTATGAGTGTCTGCTCCACCTCTTTGCCCATTTCAGCTTCATACTTGGATATGTTTCCACACTGCCTGTTAGGGGGTATGAACACCCCACCCAGAGGACCAAACTGGGATCTGCTTAAGTCCCTCCGGGTCCTGGGTAGAGCAGACCCTGGCTTAATCAGAACCTTGAACTGGGAGGGAGGTGGAGGTGTTCCCACCTCACTTGGGGCAGACTCCTGTGTTTCAACTCCATAAACTGTGAAGGCGACAAAGCCCTTTCTGTATTTTTGCGAGAGATACAGTTTGCAAATGATCTCATTACCCCCACAGCCATGAGTGGAGTTACGTCGGGCCTTCCTAACAAGTTGCAGTAAAACATTTTATAGGCCCCTCTGCCTCCCTCTTCTCCCCCACCGTGTAATTTTTCTCTGTTTGGGGTTGGACTTGGTGTTTTCCCTCTTTCCCTTCTCTTTCTCCTTGCACTTTCTCTCATGTTAATTATATTAGTTGCCATGGAAACAGTGATGTCATTGGCACGGGAGCGCTCAATGACATCCAAAAGCACAGTTTATAGCATGGCTCGAAATTTATTCCATGGCTTGCAGCCTTGAGGGGGGTTATATGGTGATTATATCTCGGGCACCATCTGGGCATGAGGGTGGAAAGTGGCAGGAAAGAAGCTGGATTGGGGGGGTGCTTTGCGGGCTTCCCAGAACCCCAGACGCCGGGCAGTGATGCTTCCATCTGGGCAACGTGGAGGGCACCTTGTATACTCTACAGAATCGCCTCTTGGCTTTCCCCAACGTTGGCAGTCTAGCTGCACCATGCCCCGCATTGGTCCCCAATTTAGGATTTCAGAATCTTGCATGGAGTGGTGCTTAAACATGCTTAACACAAGGGTGTGTGTGTGTGTGTGTGTGTGTGTGTTCGGGCCTATGCCTAATGCACCGAACCCGTGCTGTTGGTATGAAAATACGGTCTGCAGCACGCCGAGCACATTAGTTCGCACACGGGGTTTGCAGATACATGACACCCTCATTTGCCCATCTGTACTTCGTTATTCTAGAAGGTGCAGCTGCACCCACATCAGTGATTTTTGCCAGCCCTCTCACCCCCTAATGCTCCTCCACCACGGCTCACCCTTTGGTGAGCAGCGAGGCGCGGGGCTTGGGCAGGGCGGCGCACAGAGGCGACGGGACAGCGGTGCAGCCAGGGCGCCCCGTGCGTGTCATTGCGGTTGCGGGGACGCGTGGGGTTGGGGGGACCTCGCCCCCACTGGGACTTCTGTCGCTTGCAGGAGGCCTGAGCGTCTAGATCTGGCCCCAGTCAGACCAGCACACAGACCCCAAGGTGAGAGGCCCTCGGCAGTCCCCTCTTCCTCCCTGGGGACCCGCTGGCTGATGTGTTTTGGTTCCCGCAGGAAGTAGCACCCAGAGCTTGCCGAGGGAGCGCGCACACCCGGCGTGCAGAGCTAGCAGGCCCCGGCTCCTCCCGCTCCTCCGTGTCTGCGACCCTGGGACGGGCAGGGGAGGGCCCTGGCCCGCGGGCGGAGGGACAGGCAGCTGCGGTGAAGCAGCCCAGCTACCGGCCCCAGAGTGGGGCGTCCGCCCGCCTGCCTACGGGCCTCAAACGGTGACATCCGGCCTCCTGCCCCATCTCTTGGTCCCGCCTTTCTCGGTTTTGGGTCCCCAGGTGGGGCCAGGGTGGCTGCCTGAGGGGAGCCCCACCCGGGCTTGCATTTAAGCCCAACCAGCTTCCAAAATTGTCAATGGACCCAGTGGAGTCACCTGTCCGGCTACGAGCCAATCAATGACTGCGGCCAGGGACGTGGCTTCCTCTCATTGGCCAGACCCTGGTCACGTGGTCCTCCCTGGAGGCAGTAGGAAGGGATGGTTGGAGCACTGGGACCAAGGTAGGGGGGTGGGAGCTGGAGCCAGGCAGGCAGCAGGAAGGGCAGGTGCCAAACACAGAGACATGGAAGGGCATAGCTTGGGGACCACTAAGACCCACAGGCTGGTGGTAATAGTAACAGCCACCACTTTGACTGGGCTCAGTGCTGTGTTGCATTGTCCCAGTCAACCTCACAACAGCCCCGTGAGACAGATGCTAGGAAGTTAATCAATACATACACAAGGCATGTGGCCCGATCCCTGGCACCTAGCCCCATATAGATGTTTGCTGTATGTACTATTTTTTTTTCTTTTCTTTTCTTTTTTCTTTTCTTTTCTTTTTTCTTTTCTTTTCTTTCTTTCTTTCTTTCTTTTTTTTTTTGAGACAGAGTCTTGCTTTGTTGCCCAGGCTAGAGTGAGTGCCATGGCATCAGCCTAGCTCACAGCAACCTCAAACTCCTGGGCTCAAGTGATCCTTCTGCCTCAGCCTCCCGAGTAGCTAGGACTACAGGCATGCACCACCATGCCCGGCTAATTTTTTTTGGTATATATATTTTTAGTTGGTCAATTAATTTCTTTCTATTTTTGGTAGAGACAGGGTCTCGCTCAGGCTGGTTTCAAACTCCTGACCTTGAGCAATCCGCCCGCCTTGGCCTCCCAGAGTGCTAGGATTACAGGCGTGAGCCACCACACCTGGCCTGTATGTACTAGTAATAATATTACTAATAATAATGATGGAGGATCATAGAGGGCAGTATTAATAGTATTAATACTATTATTATAGTATAATAGTATTATAGTATAATAGTATTAATAGTATTAATACTATTATTATAGTATAATAGTATTATAGTATAATAGTATTAATACTATTAATAGTATTAATATTAATAGTATTGATAATAGTGACATCAATAGTATTATTAATACCATTATTAATAGTATTATTAATAATGGATGATGGAGGGTCATAGAGGCAGCAAGAGTGAAAATGAGAGTAATAGGAAGGAATATGGATGGAAGGAAACAGAGCAAAGATGGTTTAGACCAGTGGTTCCCAATCAGGGGTGATTTCAGCCCACCTGGGGTGATTTGGCCATGTCTGGAGACACTTTTTGGTTGTCATGATGGGGAGAAGGAGTGGTTTGTACTGGCATCTAATGGACAGAGGACAGGGATGCTATGAAACATAACGCACAGGACAGCCCCCTGTAACAAAGAATCATCCAGCCCAAATTGTCAATAGGACTGAGATGGAAGAACTGGGGTTTAGATTAAATAAAGGAACTCTTGCGAAACATACTCTGGGCTGTCCAGTGGAGGCTCCAGGCAGGACCAGGGCCCTGGGGTGGCCAAAGGCAGGAAGCGCCACTGCCCTGCCCTTCCCACCCCCTGCCGTCTGCCGTACGGTGGAGGGGGCCGCTGGTGGCAGAGGGGGCGTGGCCGGGGCTGGCAGGGAGAAGTGCAGGAGGGTCTGCAGGCCATGGCAGACAGTGGCCACGGTGGCCACCTCTCTAGCTCCCGAGTCACAGGCCCAACATGTTCCTTGAGTCGGCGCAGATGTCCCGCATCGGCGCGTGGCTTGCCGCGGGGAGCCCCCCACCTGGACACGGGGACCCCTCGCCCCGCAGCTCACAGATCACGCATGTGACGTGTTTGAGCAACAGGAGCACAGAGCTCAGCCGAGACAGAGCTTGGGAGGGACAGACAGACTGAACAGGAGAAAGAAACACGAAGAAAAGCCCAGACGGAGACGGAGAAAGAGAAACGGGGACGGTGACGGAAGGAGACAAACTGAGAGTGCGGGAGAGAATCAGAGAGACACAAAACCAGCCTGAAAGAGACAGAGATCGAGAGTCTCAAAAAGAAAAAACAGGGGCGGAGAAAGAGCAGAAAGGACACAGGTTGAGGGTGGAAGGGCAGACCAGGAGTGAGAGCCAGAGGACTCCTTCCTCGCACACCCCGCGGTCCGGGAGCCCTGTAACTCTCCAAGGCTTTGCAGTACTTCGGCCACCAATTGGGGGGACCACGGAAGTTGTCTCATCTCAGGTTGGGGACGAGCGAGCATTGCTCACATTATTGCTGCCACCCCCTGCTAACTGGACCCCAGCCAACAGGAAATTCCCGGGACAAATCTTTCCACTCGGAGTCTTTTAAAACTTTTATTTATTTATTTATTTTAAACGTTGGGGAGGAAGGAAGAGCAAGAGGAAAAATGGAAAAAGGAAAAAAAAAAAAAGAAAGGGAGAAAGAAATGAACCACCTGGTATAAGAAAAACATATCTAGCCACAGCCCCTGTCCAGCCAGGGGTGGCTCTGAAGCCATTGTGTCCACCCCGTCTCATTCTTCCTCTGGAAGGATTTATGACCTCACACTCCCATGACATCACAAGGCGTTGCCATGGCTCCTGCTTTATTATCATAAACAAGGGGCTGTTCCTTGGGACACTGGCTGTGTGAGCAGGAGGGGCGGGGGAGAGGCCGGGTGTAATGTGTTTTCTTGGGAAGGCCGCTTGTTCGGAAGTCTGAGAAGCTGTGAAAATAGTTGTACATGCAGTTCCCTCCCCGTAGCCTCTGGACAGGGTTCGGGATGGGAACAAGAAAGATGAAGTCAGCTCCCAGTAGGAGGGCCTCTGGCTCGGCCTGTTCCCGCTGCCAGGAACTGCAAACAAGGTTTTCATTCATCCATCCTTGAGAAAGGCATTGAGGACCTACTGTGTGCTGCTCACCGTCGGAGCCGGGCGGATGGAAGACACAACACCTGCCCCACCCCCTCGGAACCGGAAATACTCAACACGAGCGTGGGAAGTTGGGATTTGGGTTAAGTGTGCCGAGGACACAGCCAGGAAGCTGGGATGAGACGAATGCAGGGAGGAGGCTACTTAGAGGAGCAATCCAGGAGGACCTCTCCGTGGAGGTGACTTTTAGACAAGACAAGGAGGAGGAGAAGGATCCGCCGGGAAGGGCAGGAGCAGGTGGCTGGAACTAAGGCAGGGGTGGCCCACGCCAGGCAGAGGGACTGTCTGGATCTCAGTGCCCACCAGGGGCCTCTTCCCGTGCATTTTACAGAATTCCTGGACAGCTGACTCAAATGAGAGGACTTATAAAGAAGAGTCATCGTTGCCACCAGCCTGAGTTGAGCAAAGCTGCTGGACCCTGCCAGAAAACCCCCGTTTCCAACTCACAGGGGGCCCCGCAGAACTGTCAGGCCGGCGCTGGTGAAAACAAATTAGTCAGGAGCAGCAACACCTGCAGGACCCGGAGCCAGCTCTCCCGGCGTGAGTCAGTCCCCAGGAGGCAGATGATGCTCTTGAACAGCAGCAAGGAGGGAGGGAGGGGTGTGGGGGGAGGGGGGCGAGCAGCCTCTGGGACAGCTGTGGGCGCTGCCTGCCAGGCGGGAGGCCAGGGGAGGACAGGTGAGCGAGCCGTTCCCACACCTGCCAGGAGACGGACCCTCAGGGCGCCATAAAGCTAGAACTTTTAGATCATCAGTCCAATGATGAGGACAGATGGGGACACAGAGGCCCCCAGAGGGGAAGGAGGCCTGAGGTGGCGCAGGGAGTTAGGTGCAGAGTCCTGGCCCTCTCACTTGCTGTGTGGCCTTGGGGAGCTCTCTTCACGTCTCTGAGCCCCTGTCCCCACTGCAGCAAGGGAAGAACGTGCATAACGCACTTTGCACAGTGGCAATATAGAGGGTCACTCTTCTGCCCCTGCGATTTGGGGAACACGTTTATTAAACCGGGCCAGGCACTGTGCTGTGGACTTCCCGTGCATTAGCTCATTTAATACTCAGGTGACCATAGGAGGTAAACATGGCCACCCATGCTTTACAGGTAAGGAAACTGAGGCCAAGAGAGGTTAAGTAGATGCTCAAGGTCCCACAGCCAGGTGTCAGGGCCCGATCCCCACCCTCCCTGCCTGACTTCAAAAAGCCCGTGATCCCAGTGACCGAAGCCTGGCCCCGTCCCGTGGTGGGTGGCCGTGCGTGTGTAAATCACGCTGAGCCTCTGACTCGGAGCTAGGAAGGAGAGAAGCCCGCAGAGCGGGGAGCCAGCTTGCAGGCCTAAGACCCCGCAGGACAGAAGAGACGAAAGGACAGGGGACGGAGGACAGGACTCCACTCTGCGTGCTGAGTGACATTTCCAGATGCACGAAGCTAATTTTTATGTAAGATGCACATCTGAGGCTTTCCAGACCAGAGCGAGGGACACTCGGTCTGAACAGTGGCAGCTCCAGCTGGCTGGCGGAAAAAGCCTCCGCGTGAGAAATTAGGGGGTGGGCGGGCCATTAGACCAGGAATCAGGCATCTCGGATTCCACAGAAGTTGTCGGGTTTGATGAGTATCTATTCCTGGGCCGAGCACTTGACCGCCCTGCTTTATTTAAGTCTCGCCACATCGTAGAAGGTGATAGTGTAGCCCATGCTATAAACGTAGGAACTGAGCCCCCAAAACATGCCAGTCCTGGCTGTGCCCCTCGGGGTACAGATATAATCTTTCTGGGCCTTAATCTTCTCCTGTAGGAAATAAAAGGATTGGTCTAAATCAGGGATCGGTATACTTTTTTCTGTAAAGGGTGACAGAGTAAATATTTTAAGCTTTGCAGATCGTGTCATCGTTGTTGCAACTACCTGACGCTGCTACTGCAGTGTAAACGCAGCCATAGACGAGACGTAAATGACAAATGAGCATGAGCGTTCCAATAAAACTTTATTTACAAAACAGGCAGAGGCCCTTCACCCCCACCAGAATGACTGCAATCTAAACATCATAATAGCAAGTGTTGGTGAGGACTCAGAGAAACCAGAACGCTCACTCACTGCTCGTGAGCATACAAAACGGTGCAGCCATTCTAGGAAACAGTCTTGCAATTCCTCAAAAGGTTAAACATGGAGTTACCATGTGATCTGGTATCTACCCAGGAGAACTGAAAACGTGTGTGTACACAAAAACTTGCACGTGAATGTTCATGGCAGCATTATTTATAATAGCCAAAAAGTGGGAACAAAATGTGTTATATCCACAGGATGGAATACGAATTAGCCATAAAAAAGATTGCAGTACTGATATCATCTACAATATGGATGAACCTTCAACGGATGCTACGTGAAAGAAGCTAAAATGCCACAGGTTGTAGGATTCCATTTATATACAATGTCCAGAGTAGACAAGCCCACAGAGACAGAAAGTAGATTCATGGTTGCCTGGGGCTTGACTAGAGGGAATCAGGACCCGGGTGTCTTTAGGAAATGATGAAAATATTCTAAAATTGACCACAGTGATGGTCACACATGTCTGTGTTCATACTAAGAACCATTGACTTCTACACTTCAAATGGATGAATTGTATGATTTGTGGATCCTATCTCAATAAAGCTATCGTAAAAATTCCATTCACTGATAAAGTGAAAAAGCAACATGAGGGAAATCTGGGGGTTAGATAGAAGTGTTCCAACAATTGATTTGGGTGCTGGTTGCATGACTTCGTATATTTACTGAAACGTATCAAATCATGCACTTTCAATGGATAAGTTTAATATGATGCAAATTACACCTCAATAAAATTCTTAAACAAGAAGAAAAAGAAAAACGGGCGATGGATTGGATTTGGCTCAGAAGCAGTGGTTTGCTAACCTACCTAGTCTAAGCGATGTGCATTATCAGAACTCCGTAGGTTCCAAGTAGGCAGTGATCCAGCTCAAGGTCATTTAGGCAAAATGAGGAATTTCCTGGCATCCACAACTGAAAAGTCTACAGAATAGATGGAATGTTAGCCAGGGTTCTCCGGAGAAACAGGACCAATAAAACATAATACGTATGTGTATATGTATGTATCTGCATGTATGTGTGTGTATATATACTTTATGAGAAATTGGCTCACACAATTACAGAGGCTAAGAAGTACCATGATCAATCTGCCAGCAGGGAGTTGGAGAACCACAGGGTGTAATTCCGTCTGAGTCCAACGGCCCTAGAACCAAGGGAGCCCAGAGTGTCAATCCCAGTCCAAGAGCAGGAAAGGACAAGGTAAGATGTCCCAGCTCAAGCATTAAGGCAGAGGGGAAAAGTGGGGGTCAATCCATCCTTTCTCCGCCTTCTGCTTGGCCCTCCATGGATTGGACGATGCCCACATTGGAGAAGATAGTCTACTTGTACTGATTCAAATACTAATCGCATCAAGAAACACCCTCACCAGACGCATCCAGAAACCACATTTAATCTGGACACCCCATAAAATTAACCATCATGGTGGGCTTCAGGTACTGTTGCATCTAGGGGTGAAAATAGCATCAGAATCTGGCCCCCCATTCCATGTTTCTTCCATGCCCATCACCACAAAACAGCTGCCAGAAGGTCCTGTCCCATTTTCTCAGGCTCAGGTCTGGCAGAAAAGATAGGGTAGCCATTTCCAAAGGATGCTCCAAAAATCCTGCATCCCTTTGGTTCTGACTGGACCACGTGCCCATCTCCAATCTAACCCCTGTGGCCGGGAGAATGCCGTGTTCTGATTGGCTGCTCCTGAGTCACATGGCAGCCCTGGAGCTGAAGGATGCATTTAATATTACCCGAAGTCCGGGGACATACGTGGAGAAGGAGGGGGTGGGAGAAGTGACTCCCCGGAGAAATACTGGGGTGCTAGCCCAGGGGAGATCCAACAACAACATTCAGGAAGCATTTCTTCTGCCAACTATTTTTGCTTAAGGAGTTCCAAACAGCAAAGCAGTTAAATAAACATTGTTAGTCATGTTCCCTCAATGACAAATCGAAGCCCCCAAGAGTGAAGACAGCCTGCAGGTCACAGGCAAAGCACACCCCCTCCCCGTCGCCCCAAGTGTTTCACCTTTGCTCTCAGCAGGAGGTTTAACTACCTGCAAGTCAAGACAGAAGGGGTCATTTATTCAACAGACGGCTGTTACAGCCAGCCACGCACGCCGTGTCTGTAAAATTCTCTTAGATCAGGAAATTGAAAGTCCTGGAAATTAAGGGGCAGACATGAAGACTGTGCGACAGAGCGCAGGGCTGGCTCCCGGCTCCGGGGGCAGCGTTCTCACTGCCCAGACCAGCCAAGCCTTTCGGCCAGGCAGCAGAGCCTGGAAAAGTCCCCTTCTGACGCCTGTGGCTCTCCACCTCCTCAGAAAGAGAAGCTGGGTCAGATCAAGAGGAAGTCAGAAGGTTGGGAGTCTTGGGTCCTAACCCCAGCTCTGATGCTAGCAAGCTGTGCCACCCCGGGCAGGTTGCTTGGCGTCTCTGGGTCTCAGGGTCAAGTGAGAATGAGATGGGGTCTGTCCTCACCTTTCAACTCTGCCAGGCTCTGCATGGTCTCACCCTGGCGTACCTCTGTCCCTGTATCACCTCCCCTGTCCCCCACCCAACTCTCCCACCCCCTCCTACCTGGCTTTCTGTTCTTTGCACACAAGATGCTTCTTGCTGCCTCTGAGCACTCCTGCATGCTGTTCCCTCTTTCTGGAAGGTTCCTCCTGCTGTCCCCATCTTCCCAGGGCTGGAGTGTCTGGGTCACTGGGGGTTAGCTCTGGGAGGCCTTTCCTGGCCACCCGAGCTCCCTCCTGCCCCTGCCGTCTCACTGTCTCTCTCTCTCACGGTCTCCGGTTTTGTTTTCTCTGTGGCAGTTAACACTGTCTGAAATGATCTTGTTTGTTTATCTTTTTCTTTAGCTCTTGCCTGTCTTCCTCCAATAGAATTCACACACTTCGTGAGAGCAGAGACCTCATCTGTCTTTTCCACGTCTGTGTCTCCCCGGGGCTTAGAACAATGTCTGGCACAAAATAGGAGTTAATGAAATATCTGTAGGATGAATATTGAAAGTCTGGCCACCCTCCGAGCCCCACCATGGAGCCTTTTCCAAAGACCCCCACCCCTCCCCCACCCAGCTTCAAAGTGGGCCTCTTTCTCTGGGCCCCCTGCGGTAACCTTTCAACCTTTGTAGAAGACAGTAGGACACAGTGGGGCAGAACCAGGACTTTATTTATTCTTTTTTTTTTTGAAACAGGATCTTGTTCTGTCGCCCAGACTAGAGTGCTGTGGTGTCATCATAGCTCACTGCAGCCTCAAACTCCTGGGCTCAAGTGATCCTCCTGCCTCAATCTCCCGAGTAGCTGGGACTACAGGTGGGAGCCACCACGCCCGGCTAATTTTTCTATTTTTCCTAGAGACGGGGGTCTCACTATATTGCTCAGGCTGGTCTCAAACTTTTGGCTTCAAGTGATCCTCCTGCCTCGGCCTCCCAAAGCGCTAGGATTACAGGCGTGAGCCACCGCGCCCGGCCTGGACCCAGGGCTCTCGAGTTGGATACGCCTGCATCCTAATCCCAGCTTTCCCACAAGCTGTGTGACCCTGAACAGGTCACTTCTCTGCTCGGAGCCTCAGTTTCCTCATCTGTATAAATGAAAACCTGAATGGAATCCATCTCGCAGGGTTTGGGGGAGAACTGGACATCAACTCTCTCAGGGCCAATGTTTTGTCTATTTTGTTGGATTCCCCTGTGCCTGGAACAGGGCTGTTCTCCAGCTCTGCAACTTCCGCAGACCAAGTCTGAGGGCTTGGGGTCCTCCCCCAAGCCCTGCCATCTCCCCATCAGACACAAGAGCAGGGAAAACGGGTCCCCAAGGCCAAGACATGACATTCAGCTCCTACAGCTGCCCTAACAGAGCCCTACAGACTGGGTAGTTGAGAACCATAGGAATTATTCCGTCTCAGTTCTGGAGGCCAGAAGTTCAAAATTTCGATAAGGTTGGTTCCTTCTAGAAGCTTCCGAGGAGAGTTTGTCCTGTGGCTCCGGGCCATCCTTGACCTGTAGCTGTGTCACTCCCATCTCTGCCTTGCCTCTGTTGTCCCTGGCCTCCCTCTGTGTGTCTCTGTGTCCTCTCCTCTTCCTATGAGAACCCCAGTCATTGGATTTAAGGCATCTGAATCTAAAATGATGGCTTCCCAAGGTGCTTAACCAACTACATCTGCAAAGACCCTATCTGCAAATAAGGTGACTCTGAGGTTCCAGGTGGGCATGGATTGGAGGGTGGCACTGTTCAGTCCTCTACCGGGGTTCATTGCCTTGGGGGCCCCCGTGTCTGCTAAAAATGTTACCCACTTTCCCGTGGCCTATTTCCGCCTGCACCAGCTGCCATGGGGGACACAGCCGCCCCTGCCCCCTCCTGCACGGACACCCCCACTCCAGCCCCACCCCCACTCTGCCCCTCCAGGCTCCCTGAGTGTCTGGCGGCTCCACGACGAGCCCTGAGTCCCGGTGGGAGACACGTGGGGGAAACCGTGGTCGCAGAGTCCCAGCATGAGAAGGAGGAAAGTGCTGACTTAAAAACTGAAACCCTGACAGATGTAGCGCTTTTTAACTCTGCCATGGGCCTGTTGGCGCTTGTCAGATCCTAGCACGTTTGCTAATGTGCATTTTCATCAAAGGATGAGCCTGCTCTGGCTCCCACGGCCTGCCCAATCTCTTTGCTTCCACCTCCCTTCCCCAGCCCGCCGCCCCGCCTGCTCTTGCCCCTCCCTCCTCCCAGCCCCTTTTTTTGTTTTATAGACAGGGCCTCACTCTGTCGCCTTCCCAGGCTAGAATGTAGCGTCATCATCCTAGCTCACTGTAACCTCCAACTCCCAGGCTCAAGCAATCCTCCTTCCTCAGCCTCCTGAGGAGCTGGGGCTACAAGTGTGTGCCACCACGCCTGGCTAATGTTCTGTAGGGATGGGGTCTTGCTATGTTGCCCAGGCTGGTCTCAAACTCCTGGCCTCAAGTGATCCTCCTGCCTCAGCCTCCCAAAGTGCTGGGATCACAGATGTAAGCCACCATGCCCTGTGGCTTTCAGGCCCTCCCTTTCTTTTATCATCGTCCTCTGTCTCTGTGCCTCATCTCCCTGCACCCCTACCCTGTCCCCCCTTCCCCTGTCTCCTTGTCTCCCTGTTCTGTCCCCATGCTCCTCCTTTTCTTTTAGTTCAGCAAGACAAACAGGACAGAATCCCAGGGACTGTGCTCATGATGTGTGTCTTAGTCTATTTGGGCTGCTCTAACAAAACACCTGAGACTGAGTAATATATAAACGACGGAAATGTATTGCCCTCGGTTCTGGAGGCTGGGAAGTCCAAGATCAAGGCGCTGGTGGATTCCATGTCTGGTGAGGACCTGCTCTCTGCTTCCTGGATGGCGCCTCCTTGCTCTGTCCCCATGTGGCGAGACAGGTGAACAAGCTCCCCCAGGCCTGTTTTGCAAGGGCACTAACCCCATTTGGGAGAGCCCCACCCTCCTGACCTAATTACCTCCCACAGGCCCCGCCTCCTAACACCAACATGCTGGGGAGCCAATTTCAACATATGAATGGGGGACACAAACATTCAGACCATAGCAATGAAGACAAACAGGACAATAGGACTTGTCCCCTGGGGTCCCAGCTGCCCCTTCCTGCCCTGCCATGGTGCCATCTTCTCTGTATCTCTTTCCTCTTCTTTCTCCTCCTCCCTTCATCTTCCTCCTTCTTGGGATCTTCTCTCTCTCCCTCATTTTCCAGGCCAGGTCCACTGCATCAGGTGCCAGGGATACAGGTGGGAGTAAAAGGAGGCCCCTTTGCTGTCTCAGGGTTTTCTTGTTCTCCCCCTTTCTCTCTCTCTCTCTCTCTTTCTCACTCCTCTCATCTTCTTTCTCCACCCCTCTCACTCCTGCAAACGCCTCCCCGCCACTGTCCATTCCTCTCGCCCCACGCGCAGTTTCAGCCTTCGGCGTCATGAGCGAGAAGACGGCGTGCTAATTGCACGGCCCCTCTGCCTTCCTCCAGGCCCGGCATGCTGATGCTCGTGGACAGACAGGGGATCCAAGGCCCTTGCCCCGCCAGCCCCAGGCCCAGAACTGCCGATCGGCCAGATATGTCTGAGTGAACAGGAGCAGCTCTCCGAGGCCTCGGCCCAGCGGGCGGCCAGGGAAGACTGACGCAGGTGGACACACGGCCAGGAGCAGAGCCAGAAGCTCCTGGTACTCCCGGCCCCGGCGCTGAGCTGGGCTGGCTGATTGGCAGGGACACTCAGGGTCACTGGCCGGCTGGACCTCAGGGGTGCCCAGGGCAGATCAAAGGCGGATGGTGCCCAGGTGCTGGAAACCACGGTTGAAAAGGAATTCGGGGGTGGGGCTTCCTTCCCTGGGCTGGACATTTTCCAGATTTTCCAGGACAGCCCTGGCCTGGGTTGAGCTTTCGTGAATACCCAGGAGGTCAAAGAGAAGGCAGCTCTGGGCTCAAACTGTGGCTCCGTTCGCTGTGGGGGGCCCTGTCCTTCTCCCTTCTCAACGCCATGTCCCCAAAGTGCATTCTACCCAAATGATGACACCAGGCCCGGGACTTGCGTTTCCCTAGCCCGTGATTGGCTCACCAGCGGCCAGGTGATCCAGTGGTAGTAAAGCCCGCTGGGCCTTCTGGGAATGCTCCCCTTGTCCTGAGGAGGGACAAGGTGGACCCCAAGGCTGTCAGATGCAAGTTAGAAAGAACTCACGATGTTGACGATGACGCTGCACCCACGGCTGTATCACAAAGGAAACCCAATCCTCGGGTTTCCTGTTATGTGAAGTCAGGACCTTTCTCTTGTTTAAAGCACCGGGAGCCTGCCTGGGTTGTGCCACCTGTAACTTGCAGCCTAAAGCATCCTAAGTGACAGACTAGCGCGGTATTTCCCTTCTCCAAGCGTCGACAGAGATCGCAATGCCTACGCCCGGCGTCGCTGTGAGGAGTCACGACGTGATGTGTGTCGCACTCGGTAAACATCATTGTAATTGTCACTCACACGTCAATACGTTATTTACTGTCGCTTATACATGGTAGTTAGCGCTGTTTGCCAAGGAGCCTGGTCCCCTCCCCTTCTAAGGGTAATAGGACTGCACTTCTTGGCCACTTTTTGGGGGGAGAGAAGCCAGGTGACTCATCCCCACCAGCTGGCACTGCTCCGGCCACCTGCGGGGACCACCTGCGGGGACCCAGGCCTGGCATGGCGCCCACCTGCTCCCGCGGGTCAGCGGAGATCTGGCGGCATGGGCAAAATGCTTCCGTGACACTTGCTCAGGGGCATCCGTGACAAAGCTGCCTGGGCTCCAAGTGACCCGGCTCTCTCTCCACTCACACACACAGCCATTTCCCCCCAGGACACCCAATGCCACCTCGGGAGCAGTTCGAGCTGCTAATGTCATCACCAGACCCTTTAGGACCGGGGCAGGCTGGGAAGCTGCTCCGTCCACCAGGCTCCTCCTCCCTGCAGGATGGATTCTTTCTGGGGGGCCTCGGGTCGCTTGTCCTGCAATCCAGCTTTTGTAGGGCTTTCCTGTCAATCCGGAGGGCCTGGCTCCCTGCGTGAGCTCCAGGGGCAGACACGGACTCCCCTCGGCCCCTGTGAAAAATCAATGATTACAACGCAAGAAACGCCCAGAAAATAGCAAGCGTCCGTGGATGGGATCAGAACCCTTGTACATACATTGCTGGTAGGAACGTCAACTGGTGCCGGCAACAGTCTGGGAGTTCCTCAAGCAGTTTGCCGTAGGCCGGGCGCGGTGGCTCACGCCTGCAATCCCAGCACTCTGGGAGGCCGAGGCGGGCGGATTGCTCAAGGTCAGGAGTTCAAAACCAGCCTGAGCAAGAGCGAGACCCTGTCTCTACTATAAATAGAAAGAAATTAATTGGCCAACTAATATATATAGAAAAAATTAGCCGGGCATGGTGGTGCATGCCTGTAGTCCCAGCTACTCAGGAGGCTGAGGCAGCAGGATGGCTTGAGCCCAGGAGTTTGAGGTTGCTGTGAGCTAGGCTGATGCCTCGGCACTCACTCTAGCCTGGGCAACAAAGTGAGACTCTGTCTCAAAAAAACCCCAAAAAACCAAAAACCATTCAGAAGTTCAAGGTGGCAACCACAGAGCAGTAAATGAGCGCCTCCCTTCTAAGGGCTGGCCTTGTGTGACTGCACTGCTCTCATGCCCATGTATGATTAGTGACAGCTAACATGAATTGAGCACTTACTGTATGCCCATGTCTGTAGAGCTGAGAAGTTAGGAACACAGACTCAGAACCCAGACTCCTGGGTCAGATTCCAGCTCTGCCTCTTATTGCATTCTGCAATCTCTCCGGGCCTCAGTTTCCTTATCTGTAAAATGGGGACAATACTAACGAAGAATGTAGACCTGTGTCTGGCATGCAGTGTCTGCTACGGAAGGACTCACCGTTGTTTAATCTGCATGGATGGACTCAGTTGAAGTCCACAGTCATCTAAGAGATGGATGCTATTCTTATGTCTGTTACCAGGTAGGGAAACTGAGGCATACATAAGTCGGGTAACTTCCCCTCGATCATTCGGAGGAGAGGGCTGGATTTGAAACCAGGTGCCCCAGCGGCTGGGCTGCACCCACGATGTTGTCACATGGGAAGAAGAACAGGGTGGAGGAGCTCAAAGGAGCGGGCGTCCTGTCCAGTCTCTTGGGGCGGGGCAGGCTCCGCGAGGGGCTTCGCGCTGTGCCTGGCTGCGAGTCGGTGCTCGTCAAACGCGGCTGGAACCGAGTCATTAATGTTGTGGACAAACCTACTTCATTGCTGGCACTTTCATAGCGCTTCATTCACCTCTCGGGTGTGTTTGATCACCTCCACCATACAGATGGGGGCGTTTAAGCTCACCCCTGGGAGCTGTCCCCAGGCAAGTGTCACCTGGCTGGGAGGTGGCGGGTCAGAGGCTGCCCTCCTGATTCCCTGGGATCCCAAACCCCTGGCTCTTTCTGGGCTAGCCCCCTGCCCTCCGGAAGCTCTGCCCACAAACACGCTCAGCTAGCATGCTTAGGCTGGGAGTCCCGCGTGGCCCGAGTCACGGGAACGCCCCCATAGGACGTGCAGGAAGGATGAGAGAGGGGAAATGCAGATTTCAGCACAAAAGCCTGGAGAGACTCCAGTGTCCCCACAGGGCCTTGCCAATCCTCTCCTGGTCCCTGCCCCAGGCAGACAAAGTAGCTCACTCAGCCACCCAGGATGCCACCCCCCCACGCCCCCCCCCCACCCCCCCCCTGCATGAAGGGGCTCGGCTCAGCAAGCCGCGCCACCTCCACCACCCTGAGCTTTGTGGCCTCGGGGACAGGAATCCCCAAAACTCAGACAAGCAAAGGAAGGCAGAGGTGTCCCAGAGGCCTTGGCAAAGTGCTTCCCGGGATGTCCCTGGAAGGCTTTTTCCTGACTGTCTCCTCCTCGGAAGGAGAGTGAGCTGCGGATTCTTCTTGCAAAACATCCAAAACCTCCCCTCGCTGTGAGTCTCCCGGGAGCGAGCTGGGGGCGGCGGGGGTGAGTTCAGCAGCAGCAGCATTGATCTTTTCCAGATGCCACCAGGCCTTGCAGGCAGCCCAGCCAGCCGGCGGCTCCTTGTCACAGGCAAGCATGCCACTAGGGAGGGGAAGGGACAACGCCTGGTACTTCCTGGGAGAGCTGGGAGAGTCCCGCCCCAGGTGGCTGGTGCTTCCCTCTTTGGGGGCAACCGTGTACCTATCACGATTTGTTTTCTTTCTTTCCTTAAACATTTATTTTTTATTTTTTATCTTGATATCATTTCAGACTCACAGAGAAGTTGCAAGACAGCACAAAGAATTCCCATAAACCCTTCACCCAGCTTCCCCAAACGTTAACACTTTAGTATGTTTCCTTTATCCCTGTCTCCTTCTCTCTCTCTCTAGATAAACAGAGAGGAGGAGGAAAATGCATGCTTATTCAGAACCATTTAGCAGTAAGTTGTAGACATAACACCTCTTTACCTTGAAATACTTCAGTGTGGATTTCCTAAGAAAAAAAGACCTTCTCTTATGAAAGCATGATATAATGATCAAAATCGGGAATTAACAACGCTATTGTCTAATCTACAGACTTAACCCAGATCCTCCCATTTGTCCTGATAATGTCCTTTATCACAAAAGGAAGCCCTGGGTGTCACATGGCATTGGGTTGTCCTGTCTCTTTTCCATGCTTTAGTCTGGAACAGTTCCTCCGTCTTTTGGTCTTTCAGGACATGGACATTTTTTGGAGAAAACAGGTTGGTTATTTTATAGACTGTCCCTCAGTTTGGGTTTGTCAACTGTTTCTTCATGATCACACATTCAGGTCGTGCACTTTCGTTCTTCCCGATGCAGCCAATAAGGTGGCACATGCTAGCGACTTGCTCCCTTCTGCTGATGCTAACTTTGACTGCTGGGTCCAGGTGCTCTGCACTTTTTTATATAAATAAGCTAAAGATAAATGAAACAAATAAAAACAGAGATGCTTGAAAGCTAGTGATATCCTCTCTAAATCCTAGCCCACAAGCCATAGACCAGCCCCCTACCATCAATTCTGTATGAGCAGAGGTTCATACAGAAAAAGCTAATGTGTCAGTTGTCTATGGCTGTGTAACAAACCACCCCCAAAACACAGTGGCTTAAAATAACTATTTTATGGCTCATGGTTCTGTGAGTCAGGGACTCAGGCAGGGCTCAGCTGGGCAGTTCTTCCGCTCCACAGGGTATCAGCTGGGTTCACCCACATGGCTGCATCCCACCTAGAGTTTGGCTGGGGCTGGAGGACCCAAGATGCCCTCACCTGTCTGGCAGCTGGTGTTGGCTGTCATCTGGGGTGCTTGGTTCTCCTGCATGTGGCCTTTCCAGAAGGATAGCTTAGACTTCTTTCCATGGTGACTGGATTCCAAGAAAGTGAAAATAGAAGCCACGAGGCCTGGAAGTTGCCTAGCCTTGCTCCTGCTGGATTCTGTTGCTAAAAGCAGGGCACAGGGCCAGCCCAGAGTCAAGCAGAGTGTAAAAAAGCTCTTCCTTTGGATGGGAGGGGTGGTCAGTTCATTGTTGGGAAGCGCTGTTAGATGGGATCTTTGGGAGCAATACTGCTTTGGAAGCAACGTACCCCAGTCGAGGATAGAGCACACCAAGGGTGTCTACGTGCACACCCAGAAGGTCCAAGAGAGCTACAGTTAAGGAACTGGGCGATCAGTCGTTGCTATGCCTTTTCTGGAGGAATATCAGTCCCTGTGGTCCAAATGTTTAGTTTTCACTCTCCTTTCCAATTCTGCTCAATGCCAAAGGCCTTTCTTGGGTGCCTCTTACCCGGTGATACTTGCTGAGGACCTACCATGTCTACAGGGCTCAGTGCTGAGGATATAGGGATGGGAGTGAGTTGGTCCTTGCCCTTTGGGAGCTCACAGGCTAGAGATAAAAGTGACCTATGTTAAAAGAAAAACCTTAGACGAGTTAAATTTAACAGAGTTTAATTGAGCAAAGAACTATTTGGGCATGGGGCAGCCATCCAACCAGAATAGATTCAAAGACACTCCAGTGTGGTGCTGCGGGGTGGAAGAGGGTTTATGGAAAGAAAAAGGAAAGTGACACACAGAAAGTGAAAGCCAGGGGCAGCAACAGCTGGATTGGCTACAACGTGGCCTTTGCCGTATTCAAACACAGTTTGAACAGTTGGCCACCTGTGATTGGCTGGATGGAACTCAGTGATTGGCACAAGAGTAGGTTACCGCCTGTTTTTACAGGGTTTTTAGGTTACAGTTCACTAGGAAAGAGAAAATATGTAAGGAGGTAGCTTTAGGCTAAACTTAATTTAACTGCTACCAGCAACCCATTGTCAGGGAAGTGGGTGTATAGAAAGTGGAATTCAAAGCATGGAGTGACTAAGTGTGCCTTGGGGGCCCTAGAGAAGGAACACAAAAGGGACAATGCATGAACTGATGACTTTTTTTTTTTTTTTTTGTAGAGTTAGGGCCTCGCTCTGCCGTCCA